ATTTTGTAAGGCTATAACTACCATGATGATTCCTCTAATGGATTTGAGCAAAGTAAATTGAAAACCTTCCATAAAGAATTTGCCATTCTAGATGCCATTAAAATAATCTGCGATTCACTGCAAGAGGTCAAAATATCAATATTAACAGGAGTTTGGAAGAAGTTGATTCCAATCCCCATGCATAACTTCGGGGGTTTAAGACTTCAGTGGAGGAAGCAACTGCTTGTAGATGCGGTGGAAATAGAGAATTAGAATTAAAAATGGAGCCTGGAGATTTTACTGAATTGCTGCAATCTCATGATAAAACATTAACAGATTTGTTTCTTTACAGATTAACATTAACAGGAATTGTTTCTTATAGATGAGTAAATATTCTTGATGGAAATTATTTCCAGTGAATACAACTGAAATGAAATCCAAGGATTTAGAATATCACATAAACTTAGTTGATAAATCAGCAGCAAGGTTTAAGAGGAATGACTTAATTTTAAAAGAAGTTCTGTTTGTAAAATGCTATCAAAACAGTATCACCTGCCACAGAGAAATCTTTCATGAAAAGAAGAGTCAATCAATGTGCAAAACTCACTGTTGTTACCAAGTATGGTAGCACACGCCCATAATCACAGCAACTTGGAAGGCAGAGGCAGGAGGATCTTTTTTTTTTTTTAATATTTTTATTTTTTTTTTAGTTATTGGCGGACACAACACCTTTGTATGTGGTGCTGAGGATTGAACCCGGGCTGCACGCATACCAGGCGAGCGCGCTACCGCTTGAGCCACATCCCCAGCCCCAGCAGGAGGATCTTTGGCTAAACACTAAACTGCACATGTGTAGTGTGTGATTCCATGAGGCAAATTCAAACCACCCTCAACAACTTGCCAATGTCCTAAGCAACTTAGCAAGACCCTGTCTCAAAATGAAACACAAAAAGAGCTGGGGGGGGGGGGCTGGGGTTGTGGCTCAGTGGTAGAGTGCTTGCCTAGTATGCATGAGGCACTGGATTTGAACCTCAGCACCACATAAATATAAAATAAAGATATTGTGTCCACCTAAAACTAAAAAACAAATATTAAAAAAAAGAGAGAGAGAGAGCTGGGGATGTGGCTCAGTAGTTAAGTGCCCCTGGGGGTTCAATCCCTGGTACAAAAAAAAAAAAACCACTGTTACCTTATTTTAAGAAATTGCCACAGCCACCCCAACCTTTAGCAACCACAGCAGCCATCAACATTACAATAAGACACTCCACGAACAAAAATATTATCACTTGGGGATGAGGCTGTAGCTCAGTGATAAAGTGCTTGCCTCACATGTGTGAAGCACTGGGTTCAATCCTCAGCACCACATAAAAATAAATAAAGATACTATGTGTTCATTGACTTAATGAAAGCTCAAATGATCACTAGCATTTTTTATTATTTTATAAGTAAAAGTATTTTCTAATTAAGTAAGTTACGCACTTTTTTTAGACATGATGCATGGCACTCATAATATACTACAATATAATGTCAACATAAATTTTATATTCACTGAGAAATCAAAACTCTCCTGTGGCTCATTTTATTTCATTTTTTTCCTCTATTACAGTGGTTTAGAACTGTACTAGTTGGGGCTTCCCAACTTATAGACAACAAATCAAACACCCAATCTCTGAGGACTTCTTCCAAAATTTTTTGATGTAATACTAGAATAAATAAAACTGAAGTGCACATCACTAGAGACTGACTGTCTAAGCCCCCCACACACACCAAATTCATATGTTGAATCCAAACCCCAAAATGGTGTTATTAAGAGATGGCACTCCAGGACCCGATTAGGTTAAGGGGTTTCCCCATGACTGGGATTAGTACCATTTAAGAAATACTCTAGAGAGCTCCCTTACCCTTTCTACATGTGAGGACATAGTGAGAAGACTAAGATGTATAGACCTTCACTAGACACTGAATGCCAGAAACTTGACAGCCTCAAGAACTTCGTGCAATAAATGTCTACTATTTATAATTCACCCAAGCTATTTTATTTTGTTACAGTAGCCTTAACACAAACAACTATGCCTATTCAACCTTCATCTTCCTGTCTGATTTCTTTAAAGAGAAGTACACACAGAACTCCAAAAAATTGCTTAGTGGGGCCTGGGTTGTAGCTCAGTGGTAGAGCACTTGCCTAGCATGTATGAGGCACTGAGTTTGATCTTCAGCACCAAATAAAGATAAATAAATAAAATAAAGGTATTGTGTCCATCTACAACTAAAAACATTGTAAAAAAAAAACTGCTTAGAGGTCCCTTAAGTCTTTGGTTGAACACTAAACTACATATGTGTAGTGTGTAACTCCATGAGGCAAGTAGAAAATACCTGGGTAACTGATCTGGATGATTCCTAGAGTTCACACAGGGCAGTAAGATGTTCAAGTTTTAACCAGTCAAAATGGGAAGACCTAACTGAACACCCAAAGCATTTCAAAATAGACATTCCAAAATTGCCCCAGAATAGAAGGTACCAAGACATGCCTTAATAAAGCTTGAAAACAAACTTTGAAAGAAAATGCTGATATGCAAACAAATTGCCTACAAAAACAAAACTTAACACTCTTTAAGGGAAGAAAATGAAATCCAGAGACTCAACACCACACTTCTCATAATATCTACCATCCAATCAAAAGTTACCAGACATATGCCAGGTGTGGTGACACACACCTGTAACCCCAGTGACTCGGGAGGCTGAGGCAGGAGGATCATGAGCTCAAAGCCAGCCTCAGCAAAAAGTAAGGCACTAAGCAACTCAATGAAACCCTGTCTCTAAATAAAATACAAAGTAGGGCTGGGGATATGGCTCAGAGATTGAGTGCCCCTGAGTTCAATCCCCTGTATCTCACCCCACTCCCCAAAAAAAGTTACCAGACATGTAAAGAAGTAGGAAAACATGATCCAAAATTAGAAGAAAACTCAGTTAAGAGTAACAAATCAAGAAATGACTGAGATAATGGGATTTGCAGATAGACTTTAAATACCTGAATGGCTGACTAGCTACCCACATGGATAAACAAAAAGATTTAAAGAAAACAATACTAGAAGAAATCAAAGCCACAAAAAAGAATCAAAGAGAACATGTAGAACTGAAAAATACAAACCAAAACAAAAAAATGTACTGGATGAATTTAACTAAAGATTATAGACACTAAAGGAGAAAAGATAGTAAACTTGAAGACAGGACAACAGAAACTATTTCAAAGGAAGCACAATGAGAAAAGAAACTAGGGGGTGGGAAGTGAAGATAGGAGCTAGAAGCAGCTCAAAAATCCCCAAACAAAATAAACACAAAGAAAAGCAAATCATAATCAAATTTCTGAAACTCATGAAGTATATGAAAATATATTAAAAGCAGCCCAGGGGGTAGGAGTGGGGAATATATCACATACAAAGGAATAAAGAAGTTCCACTCACTTCTCATCAAAAACAAGGTAAGCCAAAAGCAATGGAATGACATTCTTTAAAAAGCTGAAAGAAAAAAATGTGTCAACCTGAAATTCTATCTCCACAAAATTATCCTCAGAAGTTAAGATGAAATAAGGGCATTTTTAGACAACAAAAGCAGACAGAATTCATCACTAACAGATATACACTACAACAAATGTTAAGAAAGTTCTTCAAGCTAAAAGGAAACATCAGAAGTCTCTCTCTACCCTAAACCCCCACTTTTGGACTCCAAAGCTTTATTTTGTACTTTCTCTTCCAGAACTCCATATTCAAGACCTGTTGCCCTTCTTCATCAATGTGGTTTCCCATACAAAAATTGTTTTCTCTGAACACCATTATTTAGCTTGACCTTTAAAACTGTAGTCTTACACTGGGCATGGTGGCACATGTCTATAATCACAATAGCTTGAAAGGCTGAGGCAGGAGGATCACAAGATCAAAGCCAGTCTCAGCAACTTAGTAAAGCTCTGAGCAACTTAGTGAGACCCTGTCTCAAAAAAAAAAAAAAAAAAAAAAAAAGGCTGGGGATATAGCTCAGTGGTTAAGTATCTCTGGGTTCAATCCTTGAAAAAAACTGTAGCCTTACCCTATCCTGTTCTTTATAGAACTTCATATCAAGTCATTCCAAGTTTTTCAGTTGCTTCATTAACTAGAAACTAGATTCAACACCCCCACACACAAAAAAAAAAATCCTGCCATTGAGTATACTATAATGCACCAACCAAAAATATGGGGAGGAAAAAACTTCACCCAAAACAGGTTAGAGTGCAAGGCACGGGAAGGAAAAAAAAGAAGTAAAGCAGGAAGCAGTCCTATCAAAGAGGAAAGAGTCGATTTTTCTAAAAACAAAGTAGGTTAGGAAGATCACAACTGTCCTACAGACACTATCCCAAGTCACACACAAGGCCTACCAGCTCTCCTTACCCAGACCACAAGGAAAGACTGTATGACTCATTGATATTATATGGAAAATATCTCCTGAAAACTGAGTACAATACAGCACAAGCCTTAATGCAGAAAAACCCAGTGGCATATTCAAGCTCTGTCACTTATTAGCTGCTTGACCTGCAGTTCATTTAAAATTCACAACAGCCCTATGAGATAGGTCCTATTAGGATCACAAGAAGATTACAGTGTTTACCCAAAGTAGTGCATTCAGGAAATGGGAGAGAAAGAATGTGAATCCAGGCCTCCTACACTGAACTGCCTCTTCAAGTGTACATCATATCTTGAGCATGTGACACATACCCTAGCAGTGTTCCTACAGGGAGAATGTGAAAATCAAGATGCTCATGCTAAACCTCTACATGTCATGTCTAATTCTGGCCGGGCCCTCAACTGGTTAAATGACTGTGGAAAGATACTGCCCTACAAGGGAGAAAAAGAAAGAAGACAAGTCAACTGTATTCCCAAAGCTAAATAAATACCGAGATAAAGAATTGGTGCTTTACAAATGAGAACTAATATGGATAAACCCAACCACCAGTTAGGAGAGAAAGAAGGAATCTGCAGAGGAGGATTTCCTACCTGGGGAGTGCTGGTGGTTCCTGAGGGACTACAGCAGCACCAGCCGCTGCTCCTGGAGCTTCTGCCTCTTCCAAGCCACCAGCCACTTCCTGTTTAGCATCCTGTGAGCCTGGAGGTTGCACTTTCTCTGCATCCCCAGGCCCACCTAATTCTGCAGGAGAGTCAATCTCTATTTCCTGAACTGGGACTGGGACCAGTTCCTTCTCAGCTGTACCAGTTACCACAGCCTTAGCTTCTTCTTCTTCTTTTCTCCTGATTTTCTCTTCAAGTTCCTTCCTTCTTTTCTCATCATCCTGACGGGCCATCTGATCAAAGGTTTTAAATACCTAAAATCAAATAGTAATCCAGCAGTCAGTTCATTTGCCCAGTACCGTCCCACACATCCTGTAGAAATATAGCAAAAATAAAATATAGAATAAAAAAGAAGTAAACAGAAAACTTTTCTTTGGAAAAATGGAAATGTGCTGCAACTTCACCAAAAACTTTAAGAGTAAAATATCAAAATCAACAAAATCAAAAACAAGCTAAGACTAACAATATTTACATAGATGATCCTAGCTATCATAATTTTTATAGGCCCCAATCTTAGTCACAATGCAAAGAACATTCTCCTGGTACTGTGGGTCTGTGAGGGTGCCAACAACTCAGACTCAAAAATGAAAGATGAGGGGCTGGGGCTGGGGCTCAGTGGCAGAGTGCTTGCCTAGCATGTGTGAGGCACTGGGTTCAATTCTCAGCACCACGTATCAATAAATAAAATAAAGGTTCATTGACAACTAAAAAAAAATTTAAAAAAAATGAAAGATGAAAATATAGTTGAACTTCAATCCTCAAAATGCACCTAGGCTGGGCTGGGGTTACAGCTCAGTGGTACAATGCTTGCCTAGCATGTGTGAGACACTGGGTTTGATCCTCAGCACCACATAAAAAATAAATTAAAAAAATAAAATTATTTAGCTGGGCGCCGTGGCACACACCTGTAATCCCAGCAGCTGGGAAGGCTGAAGCAGAAGGATAGCGAGTTCAAAACCAGCCTCAGCAATAGCAAAGCACTAAGCAACTCAGTGAGACCCTGTCTCTAAATACACAATAAGGCTGGGAAATGTGGCTCAGTGGCTGAGTCCCCCTGAGTTCAATCCCCAGTTTTCCCACACACACACACAAAAAAAAGTGTTTAAAAAAAAAAAATGCACCTAATCTTACTGAACTGCTGCTACCCTCCTACACTGAGGGCTGAAAGGAGGCATGGGCATTCGATTCTACAAACATCCACTGTGTGCCTAACAATATATGAGGAACACAAAATCAAAAACAACTTTCTACGTTTGCAGATCTGGTGTGTAGACAAGTCCTTACCATTTTCTGTAACTCAGTCACACCCCTGAAGATACTCAGACCCCTCCATCAAAAAAGTATAAAGTTAAAACAGACCCACACCCAACAACTCTGATACAAGAGGGGCATGATGGAATACTTGATGTCCTGTCAAGACTGCAGGCAGGAATGAGCACTTCTGATGAAAGAAATCAGAGGAAGTAGAAAGGAGATCTCAACTGGACCTGAAAGAAGAGGCATATCTTCCAAATGCTACACCTCTAAGAAGTAGACTCATCAAGAAACAGAGCCTCTGTAGTAGCTGAAGGAATAGCTAAGAAACTAACTGGGGAAATGGGTGGGAGTCAGATTCCAGAAGGCTAAAATGCAGAAGGCATTTGATAACAATGTCTGTACACTACACAGGAAGACAGAACAAAAGACAGGTGCTACCATAGGAACCGTGCTGAACAATTCTAAAAACACTCTTGAAAATTCTGTGAAGAATGGGCTGGAGATGGAGCTCAGTGGTAAGAGCACTTTCTTAGCATGCATGAGTCCCTGACTTCAATCCCCATTGCTAGAAGAAAAATATAAAACAACACAGGAAGAATACTCCATCAACATTCCAAAAATGAGGACAAATAAGGCTCAGAGGGATCAAGTAACTCACCCACAGTCCTGTCAAAAAAAAGGATAGTAAAAAATTACACATGACACAACAAGCAGCAAAAGGTAATGTAAGCAGAGGAAAATAAATAAAATCCTATAAGGTTAAAAACTGGAGACAATCCTAGACCCATTTCCATTCTGCAGATCAGCGGAAGTCCTGACTCATTTCTCTCCAACATTCATCCTGACAACAGCTCAGGTCCTTTGCACTCAGAGCCACTCCTCCTCTCAAGGTCCTAGATCTACTTAACTCCAAAAAGCAAAGTAGCAAAGAACCTCTCTCACAACCTAAAACTTCTAACACAAGACCCCCACTGTGGGGGGTCAGATGGTCCTCAGAGTGCATACTAACTCTAATACTCAGCACATCCAACCTTCTCTGACCAGCACAACCTAGAAGTACTCTCAAATCACAAAGACCTCCCAGCTACCACATGTTCTAGTACTCATTTTAGAATCACAGAATACTAGATTAAGAGACATACCTGACCTCCAATCAACCTCCTCACCTGACAATAGGTGAAGTGACTCTCCCAATATTTCCCAATAAGCTATATAAGGAACAGGACACAGCTGGCTTTCCCAATTCTTATACTGAGGACTTCTACTTAGCAGTACTTCTCAAACTGAACTCCAAGATAAACACCAAGTTATCAAAAATGGCATGTTTTCTTAAAACATACACTACCTTATGGAATGGAATGCAATTTTCACATATATCATTTATGCTAAGGGTCTTTCAAGTTGTACATCCATACTCATACTTGCTTAGACTGGGAGGAAATGTGTAAGACACCCTACACTAACTATACCAACAGTCCTCTCCCCAAAATATCAGAGGAAAGCTTTCAAGTTCCAGAAAGCAGTCCAACAACACTGGACAACAAACCCATCCAACCCATCTCACAGAGAGCTGAAGCATCCCACCTCAGGTGAGGGAGTCACAGAAAGGAATCTTATGACAGCCAATCAGGAACAGAAAAAAACCCTAAGAGGCAGATAAATGGGAATGGTCAGGAGATGACCTACCCCCACCCAAAGATAATGCTGTGCTGTTATCAAACCACTTAATCTGATTCAATATTTTATTGTCCTACCCTCAACAACTTTGCCAATATAGAAATCACCTTTACAAGTCTCCTGCCACATGACCTTCTGTGAAAACAATTACACAGAACTCACCCATATTTATCCAACAAAAATGGCCAAAGAATGTACTTTAAAAGTTTCTTGGGTAATGCTGATGTTTGTGAAGACTTCCAGGGGGATAAAAAAAAAAAAAAGACACCCCTTTTAGTCATCTGCTGGAGACTTTCACCTTGGTTTCTGTGAAACATACTGCCCTTCAATGATTATTCCCCAAAATGTTCTCCACCTCTGGTTTTTCTATTTCAGATCTCTCCAGTCCTCCATCTCCTGCAAGATTCGGTCGCAGGCTGAGTATGGTGGTTCACACCTGTAATCCCAGTGACTCAGGAGGCTGAGACAGGAGGATTCCAAGTTCAAGACCAGCCTGGGCAACTTAGTGAGATCCTGTCTCAAAATAAGAAGTAAATAAGGGCTAGTTGTAGCTCAGTGTTAAAGCACCCCTAAGTTCCATTCCCAGTACTGCCAAAAATAAAAATAGAAAGAGGAAGGCCAGGCACAGTGGCACACACAGCAATTCGGGAAGCTGAGGCAGAAGGATTATCTGCAACTTGTCAAGGCTATCAGCAACTCAGCAAGACCCTGTCTCTAAATAAAATACAAAAAAGGGCTGGAGATGTGTGGTCCAGTGGTTAAGTGCCCATGGGTTCAATCCCCAGTACCAAAAAAAAGGAAAGGATTGTGCATATAGCTCAGTAGCAGAGTGATTGGGGGCAGAGGGCGCAGAGAGATTTGTAATCAAAAAGCAATCTTTTACTGTACACAGTGGTACACACATATAATCCCAGCAGCTCAGGAGGCTGAGATGTAGCTCAGTGTTTAAGTGGCCCTGAGTTCAATCCCTCCTCCAAAAAAAAGTACCCCCCAAAGAAAGCTATGATGAATAGGCTGTGTGTTCTTATCATATCATTCAACCTTACTGAACTACCACATAAAATTCAACTTTATTTCAGAGATACTTTGAAGATCAAGAAACAAGATTTCATTAAACTGCCATAATGTCCTGCTAAAAACCACCTATGACAGCTCTCTGATCATTCAGAAGGTACTTGGGCCTCCAATAAGGCTGAGGAATAATGGCCTTTGATTCTGAAATTGAAACCCTAATGGAGTGCCAACCTCACTTCTCACCTGACCATCATTATGTTTGTAGGTACTGGGTCATTCTAAGCTTTGGTTTCTTCCTGGAGGTGCTAAAGAAAGTAAAACCTGATCATCATCCTGGAGCCTGCAATAAAATTTCAGACAGAAATACAAAGCACTTTATAGGTGCTAGAGAACCATGGGAGGTATCAGCAGTATTTCCATCTTCTCAGGTTCCTACACTCAATGCTCACCTGAATACTTCTTTCAGTTTTGTCAAAAGCCCCATCTCTCTTACAAAAACCTTCTCAATTCCCTATTCCTTTCCTTTCAACCAGCTCTATTGCTTAAGTGGTCCTGTAAGTTCTCTATTATATTCTGTGTTTTATTTTCTTAACTGTAAGCGTCACAAGTAACAAGACCAGTATTTAAACACCCACATCACCAGTGTCTGTGGCAGCCAACTGTAAAACATATTCAGAAAATGCTTATTACTACATTCAAAAGGGCCCGGTCAACCTCATTCAATAAGAGTGCTTCAACCACACACACACACACACACACACACACACACACACAAATTAACCTGGGATGTATAGATTTAAATCCAAATGCAAATTTAATAATCATATCGACCTGGGATATCATATTTGAACAAGCGGCCACACCCACAGATCAACACATTACTTCAGTTATCCTTGCCACCTCTGGTCTGGTAGCTCTGGAACGTGCAAGTTTCTGCTATTGTAAATGTCTTTCCTCTGGTTCTCCTAACACTGTTTTCACCTTACATCCAGCAGTCCCCCTCACTGCGTAGAGTATGATCGTAAGCGTGAAGCAGGGCCAATAGCCGACTGGCTGCTTCGGACACCCAGGTACCTCCGACATAGTGCCAGAGATGCTCCCACCGCAGAGCAGCCTGATATCTGATCCGCACAAGTTACCCACGGCCATTCGTTCGGGGTCACCTCGGCGATCCCTGGGAAAAGCGGAGGCCTGAGAGGAGCTGCGCGCAGGGTCGAGGGTATGGGATCCTGGCCCGGTGCCGGGAGGTGACCCCACGGCCCACACGTTCCCCTCCTCACCTGCAGCACCATAGCTTGTGCGGCCCCGGGCGGGAAGCCCATGCGGTCCGATGGGTGGCGCAGCAGGCGGTAGAAATCAGTCTTGCGGTAGAGGAAGCCGAAGAGAACGCGCAGAAAGTCCTGGACATTGCCCACGTGTTGCAAGATGCCCAGCAGGGCCTGGTCATATAGTTCAGCAGCCCCGGGCTCCATGTCTCCGCAGTCCGAGGGACTCCACCACCGGCACCAACTCGGACCGGCCAATTGACCACTTCCGGCGTGCGCTCCTAACGGCTCCCCCGGACAGAGAGGCCGTGGAACTTCCGGTCCGCGCCTGTTCCTGCCTGCAAACCGAGTATGCTCTCCGCGGCCCCCGCGGCCCCACTGGGCTTTGCCCCAGAGCAGCATTCGCTAAAAGAGACTGACGTGGGCCCCCTTGTGGCTCCTACGCACAAGAAAGCCGATGGTTACTGGGCAGAGCCTGCCTGGCGGCCATGTTCGAAGAGGGCGGAAGAGTTGAAGTGAGTAGCATCACATCATCCGTTGGTTTTTGTCACGTGTTGTGGTGTTAACTTCCCGCCCAAATGTCTCTAGCCCCTAGGTAAACCTCGGACCCTGGTGCTTGTTTAGTTGTTAGTAGGTCGGAGAAGGGAAATTCTGTGCTTGTTATTTGTATGAATTTCAATTAATACAGAGCTGTGGTCAGGCGAGATATCTCGGTGCATGCCCGTAATCCAGGCAGCCCGAAGGCTGAAGCAGGAGGATTTCCAAATTAAAGGCCAGCCTCAGCAATTTAGAGAGACCTTGTCTCAAAAATAAAAAGGGCTGGGAATGTGGCTTTGTGGTAAAGCGCCCCAGAACACCCGCACCCCCCCAATAAAAGAGTCTGAGTGAAACTCAGGCCTGTTGCAACAGAAGAAATTAAAGATGACTTTAAAAGGACAAGAAAAAAACATAGAATGCATCCACTTATAAGTTGGAAATGCCCCGTGCAAAATAAAGAATCTAATATGCTATCATTGTGAAATAAAAGTCTGTGTTATGTGTACTATGATATATATCTATGTGTCATATGTACCTAAGTGTGTGTCAAAGTATAATCTCAAAAAAACTTTACCAGAGATATGGTAAAACTGCTTCAAAGAGTTTTTTGAGGAACTGGGTGTTTACAGATATCTTAAGAAAATGTTAAATGTAAGATGGTTGGAATAAATGCTAATCAGATTGGTGTTCTACAAGATGATAAACTGTAGGTAATCATTTCTAGTGGACAAATGACTTACACCTATACTGGACTAAAATCTGCAAGTTAACATCTTCACAGTGTATGGTCTCTGATGAATTTTAAATAAAGTCACACTGAAGTAAATTGCCCTAGAACAGTGGTTCTGAAAAGTTTTTTTTTACTTAGGACCCATTTATGCTCTTAAAATTTGTTGAAGACTCCAAAAATTTTGGTTTGTATTAGTTTTGTTTATCAGTATTTATTATATTGGAAATTAAAATTAGTTTTTCAAATATATATTCATTTTTAAATAACCATAAAAACACATCATATGTTAACATTCTTTTTCAGGAAAAAATAATATTCTTCAAAGCAGTAAAAATTTAGTGAGAAGAGTAACAGTTTTACATTTTTGCAAATCTTTTTAATGTCTGGATTAATGGAAGACAGTAAGATCCTCACATGATACACTATGTTATGCAGTTCTTCCAAATGTTCACTAGTTTTATTACACAATGTCAAAAAAAAAAAGTCACATTGGGCCAGGGAGGTGGCCCACCCTGTAATCCCAGCAGTTTGGAAGGCTGAGACAGGATTGCAAAAGCAAGGTGCTAAGCAATTCAGTGAGACCCTGTCTCTAAATAAAATTCAAAATAGGGCTGGGGATGTGGCTCTGTGGTTGAATGCCCCTGAATTAAAACCCTGGTACAAAAAAAAAAAAAAAAAGTCACATTGGATTAGTTTCCCATTGACCTCACCAGAGAATGTTTTAGTTATTGGGAAGCTGTCAAGCTTATAGAGGTAGGATGTATGTTTTAAAATTTTTTAATTTTGGCTTTAAAACTTGAACTTTATTATTGGCATTAAATACCATCAATTGTTTGCCTGGAGGTGACAGTCTTACTTCATTCTATCATGCAGTAGACATGATAGTCCATGAAAAGAGGTTTAACTCATTTACTGACAACTCAATTGTCCAAGTGCTTTGCATCGAAGCAACTGCCACCTCAATATGAAACAGAAGTATTTTATGTGTAGTTCTCTTCATCACACAGAATATTAAGATTTTTTTCTCAAGTGTCAATAATTAATAAAATTTAAAAATTCAACACTTCATCAGGAACACTCATAAGTGGAACTATATATTTTTAATTTTTACCAGAAGTGCAAAGCAGTGAATAATATAGTGCTACAATGCCTACTAGTGGAGTTTGGTGCCTTTTATGGACTGAATGTGTCTCCCCCAAATTCATATGTTGTAGCATTAACCCCCATTGTGACTGTATTTGGAGATACAGACTTCAGTAAGGTAATTAAGGTTAAATGAAGTCAAATGAGTGGGGCCCAACCCTATAGAGCTCCTATCTTTTCTTTTTTAGAGGAGTGTGTGTGTATTGCCTAGGGGATTAGAACCCACGGCCTTGTGCATGAAAGGCAAGCACTCTAACAATTGAGCTATATCCCTGGCACCAGGATATATACCAAAAGGAAAAGACATTAGCAGTCTTGTTACTGGCAGCCACTAGGCCTGCCTGCCTAAGAAATAAGCAAAAGATATAAAAAGGAAAAATGAATTTTATGCAGTTTGATCAAACTGGGGAGAAGCAGCTAGATTGTTTCTCTTTAGTCTTATGAACACTGTTGCAATTTATAGGAACAAAAGTAAGGATATACATAGATGTAGATTTAGTTAGACTGTGCTAGCCAAGAGGACATGTCACTTTTAGCTCCTTTGTCCCCCATACTTGCCATAGGAGTATTTGGTTTGGGAGGACTATTTGAAGCTTTTAATTTTAAAGGATCTCCATTTTGATCTCTACACAAAAGAAAGATCAAATGAGGATACAATGAGATTGCTATAAGCCAGGAAAAGAGCCCCCTCACCAGATAACAATCCTGACAGCACCTTGATCTTGAACTTACAGCCTCTAGAACTGTAAGAGAATACATTTCTGTTAATCCACTTTAGTCTATGGTGCTTTGTTACAATACCCTAGCAGTGCAAGTACTTTGATTTCTGCTGAGACAATTATTTTACCTTCGTTGCTTTGGGGCCATTACCACCAATGCTAACATAGTAAAAAGGCAAATAATATTGTTATTTTGACCTTGAAAGCAAACCAACACCACCACCCCACCACCCCGCCTCCCGGAGGGTTCACATACTACATTCTGAGAATCTCTGCCCTGAAGAAGTAGTGAATTGTTGGGTGAGCCTCAATAGACTTTGAAAGGACTTGCTGTCATCTCACTATATTTCAAAATTTTCAATAATTTCTTTAACATCTAAAATTATCATAAGAAATAGAACAGTCTCCAGAGAGGGAAAATCAACAGAAACTGCAGTATAAAAGAGAACAGATGTGACTGTATGACCAATGTGATGCTACAGTATGTATACTCAGAAAAATGAGAAATTATATCCCATCAAAGTATGGGATATAATTTGATGATATATCAAAGTATACAAGTGCATTCTATTGTCATGTATGACTAATTAAAAAAATAAGCAAGCACTTTTTAAATTAAAAAAGAAAGAGAACAGAGACTTACTTTTGAATCTGATACCACATGGTATTACCACATGCATTACCTATTCAAAAAATATATAAAATTATTTTGAAAATAAAGTTAATAGAAAGCTAAATATAATCCTACAATACAATCCAGCAATTGTGCTCTTATATATTTACCCAACTTATTTGAAAATTATGTCCACACAAAAACCTACAATAAATATTTATTGCAACTTTATTCATAATTGTCAAAACTTGGAAGCAACCAAGATTTCCTCAATAAACGAATGGCTAAGCAAAGTGTAGTATATTCATAAAACAAAATATCACTCAGCAATAAGAAAAAATGAGCTATACAACTACCAAAAAAAACTGGATTAATATTAAATTCATCTTGCTAAGAAATAGAAGGAAGTCAGAAAATCCTATCATCCAATTACATGACATTATGGAAAAGGCAAAATATGGAAAGAGTAATAAGATCAGTGATTTCCAGGTCTCAGTTGTGAGAAAAGATTGAATAGGCAAAGTATGGGAATTATTTAGGATGTAAAACTATTCTGTAAGATATTAATTATGGATATATGACACTGTAAATTTGTCAAAACTCAGAAATCTAAGGCATAGAGTGTTAATATATGCAAAATTGCTTAGGAAATTGAGGGATCTGAGAACAGAATGCAGAATATGACAAATGTAACAATGTAACTTTATTACAAATGTATGAAACGTCTTATCTAAAGGGAGTAGTAGAAAGATAGTGACCTAAGTAACTTTGGAAATGAACAGAGTCAGTAAGACTGAAGGCAAAAGGAACAGTACACAGACTTTGAACTGTGGCCAATAAGAGTTTATCACAAGGGGTTGGGGTTGTGGCTCAGAGGTAGAGCACTTGCCTACCATGCGTCAGGCACTGGGTTTGATCCTCAGCACCATATAAAAATAAAATAAAATAAAGATATTGCATCTACCTACAACCAAAAAATAAATATTAAAAAAAGAGTTTAACACAAGTATCCTTGTGTTTCCCAGAAGAATATAGATTATCAGTTCTGAAATCACTAGATATAGGGTGGAAAGAACAATGAAGTAAATGGTTGTGGGTAGTAGAAGCCAGATTTTTCACTGTTGGAGTAGGAGGTTACAGAAAAGCAAAGGAAAGAGGCTAGAATGATCCACGTGATAATGAGTCTAAGTTAGACACATTGGTATAAATTTAAGTTTAGCTTACTATAGATACATATGACTACATGTAGAATCATTTATAGAAATGTGTCTATACTGGTTAGTGTACATGCATATTTCCTTCCTCTCAGCTGAAAGAATCCAGAAGCATTGCCTCAGCATCAATGAATACACCCCAGAATGATATTGGTTTCTAATATCATTCTCCAATAGAAAACCAGGACTCCTTGGAGAAGTGATTCTAGAATTATTGCAGAAAATATGCAAGATTAGTCTGGGTCATCTTGCAGTGTCTCAAAATAAAAAAGCAGTAAAACACACAATTATGAGGTATGGCAAAGGAATAAGAGTCAACTGAAAAAGTGCCCAGTAACCAGAGCTGGAACAAGCCAAGCAACAAAATAAAGTAGCATTATATTAGAACACAAAGTACAAATTGAATATATATGAGTCCATACTTATATTGATTGATATATAGGACACATA